GCAAATTAACTCTAGTAATATATGGCAATGTTTCAGGGCATATAGGACAATATATATATATGTGTGTGTATATATATGTATATGTATGCATATATAAATGGTTTGTTTCAGGTATACACCAGGGGGTCTTGCAATGTAGGATATGAGCTCCTTGTAGTAACAAATATATTTTCATTTTTTAAAATGATGGGTTAATGTGCATATAGATGCTTTTTTGGGTATTGTATTTTTATTTTGCTTCATATGTATTATTTTTTATTGTAAAAGGGATGTACAGAGTGGCTGCTGTTACATAAGTCAGGTAATGAATATATATATATATATATATAATATTATATTTTTTTATGGTCATGGGGCTTATACTCTAGGCCTGGGCGCTATCTCTGAGCTCTTCAGTTCAAGGCTAGTGCTCTACCACTTGAGCTACAGCGCCACTTCTGGCCTTTTCTGTTCATGTGGTGCTGAGGAATCCAACCCATGACCTCATGCATTTGAGACAAGCAATCTACCACTGAGCCACCTTCCCAGCCCCAAGTATATTTCTTTTTGAACAGTGTCATCTCTTCCTTCATTTTCTCCCATTTTTTTCCTCCAGGCCTCCCACCCCAAGTTGTATACTTCATTATCAACATAGTGTCTAATGAGTATTACTGCTGCATTAGTTCACCCTTTGTCCCACCATTCCCTTACCCTCTTCCCCAAATAGGTAAACTTACATACAAAAGACAAAAAATACTTACATACATGACAGAAGGAGAAAAACAGAAGAAAAAAAAAACCTTTTGCTTTCATTTCTTCAAGTTCATTTTGATAAGCATCATTTCATATGACTATGTGCACACAGCTATTGAGCCTTTGTGATCCTCTCCTAAGACATCTTCCTTTGGTCTCATGGTGTGAATGTTTAGAATTGGGTTTAACTTATCATGTCCAAGTGTATTTGTTTTTTACTATCCATTGTGTTTACCTGTAGATTCATAGGTACATTCTAATTACTACAAATGAGGGAAATGATACAACCTGTTCCTTTGGGTCTGGCTTACTTTGCTTAATATAATTTTTTTCTGAGTCCATTTCCTTATGAATGAGGCAGTATCATTCTTTGTGATGGAAGCATAGAATTCCATTGTGTATATATACATTTTCTAGATCCACTTATCCACTGAGGGGCATCTGGGCTGATAACATATCTTGGCTATGATAAACAATGATGCAATAAACATGGCTGTGCTGCTAGCTTTAGTGTGGCATGGTTTGGATTTATCTAAGAGAGAAGTTGCTGGGTTATAGGGAAGCTCTATGTTTAGTCTTCTAAGGAACCTCCATAGTGCTTTCTAGAGTGGTTGAACAAGTTTACATTCCCACCAACAGTGTTGTAGCATTCCCTTTTGGCCACATCCCTACCACCATTTGTTATTGTTACTTTTCTTGATAATGACCATTCTAACTAGGGTAAGGTGGAATCTCAATGTTGTTTTGACTTGCATTTCTTTTATGGCCAGAGATGTTGAACTTTTCTTCATGTGTCTGTCCATTGGCCATTCTCACGTCTTTTTCTGAGAAGTCCAGAAAAAAAGTAGCAGTAAAGGAGTTTTAACTTTTCAGCAGTAATCAAAGATCACAGAATACGTATGCTTGTGGAAGAAATGACTTCAAATTTGTCTTTTTCCGTTAAAATTACATTTATTTAAAAATTTACAACAGAAAGATTCCTATTTTTAATATACAATTCTATGAGTTTTGACAAGTGCACAAACTCATGTAACTACAAACAAGATTCGGATAACTACCATCATCCAAACAAATCCCTAATGCTACAATTCTGTAGTTACTGAATACACCAACATTAGCCCATGATATTCATTTCTATTATTTTGTCTTTCCTAGAATATGTGAAATCAAACAGTAAATAGCCTTTGAGCCTGGATTCTTCTACTTAGCAAAATGCATTTATGATTCATTTGAGTTGTTGCATAGATGGTTATTAGTTTTTATTGCTGAGCAGAATCATTGGTTATGCAGTTTCTATATCTATGCACCGGTTGAAAGGTTTCCTTTATATTTATTTTTCTCTATTATTAGTGGTCTGCAGATCTAGTATAGGGCAGAATGAGATTTTCCACCCAATAGGAAACAGTTCCTTCTGGAAAGTCTAGCTGAAAACCTGTGTCCCTGGTTAAGATGTACAAGAGGCTATAACCAGATAATTTATTTTTTATCTCTTAAACTATATTTAAAATAGAGTAGTTAAAATCCTAAGTGAACAGTATAGTATATCAAAGAAATAGGAGTTGTCCTGAGTACAGTCAGATGATATCCTACAATGGATCTGACAAATATTCTGGAAGCCATGTCATTGCAAGAGTGTTTAAATTTTTTTCAATTTAAAAAATACTGAAAAAAGTAAAAACCATTTAAAATTGTACCACCCTAAAATTGTCACAAAGTTTCATGAAAGCCTCCTTTCAGCCTATATAATTTTACTTCCAAAAGAGTTACAATTTTCTTTAAACATATCAGGTTCTGAGTATAATGCATCTTGATCAGTATTATTCCTTCCATTCTCTCATTTTTTAACTTAATGCAAACTATTGGGAGTTTAGGTAAGAATATATTCATAGATACAGTCTACTATTTTAATGGCTGCAAAGTATTTAAGTGGACTCATTTAGCAATGGATGGACATTTGTGTAATATCCAACTTCCTATGTTTTGAATGTTACATACCACACAATTCATGAGTTTTAGAATATGAATACTATGTGTTAATTTGGCACAATTTTAGAACATTTTCACCAAATTCTGAAGAAAACTCGTATACCTTAGCTATTGTTCCCAACCATTTCTATTCCTTTCCTTCCCACCCCACTCTAAGCAAATCTTGTCAAAATATACTTGCCAACTAGACACTTCATATAAATGGAAACAGATCATCTGTAGTCATTTGTGACTGGCTTTGTTTCACTGAGCATATTCTCAGGATTCTATGTTGTATACAGTGTCAGAAATGTTCCCTGTTGTATTGGGTATAGGAATTTTTGAATAAATTGTATGTTTTTAAGGTTTTATAGTATTCATCTCAGAAGTCATTTGAGTCTGGGCTTTGTGTGTGTCCTTTTTAAAAATTACTTTATACATTTAGTTATTAGTAGGTCTATTTCTTAATATAATTCTGTCTTTGGAAGATGAAAGAACTATATATTTACACCTTTTAAAATTAATCTTAAACATGTAATTTTCATGAATATTTATGGTAATATTTATCAAAATAAATTCCAGAAAATGGAAGCATGGGTTATTTATGATGTTGTTGTTGGTGTTTGTGTGTGCTTTTTCTTCTTTTTCTTCTTCTGTTTCTTGGGGAGGGGGTAAAATAAAGTGAAGAAAGACAGGAAAGAAGGGTAAGCAAATGCAATCATGGTATTCAGTATACACTATGTGGAAAACGTAGTATGCAACTTGTGGGCAGAAACAGGAGGGGGAACCAGGGGGAAAGCGAAGAAAAGGGGTGACACTGTCCAAAAGAGAAATGTATACATTACCTGAATTGTGAAATGGTAAACCCTCTGTACAACACCTTAATAATAACAATAAAATTATATTTAAAAATTTAATCTTTTTCTTCTTTCTTGTTTTCTCTATTTCTTCCTTTGTTTTTCTATTTCTTTAGTAAAATACAGCATTATCTCCATCTAGGTTCTCTGTCCTGTTATTGGCAAATATATTACATTTCTATATATTATATGCCAAACAAAGTAACTATAAAATACAACCATATACAATTAAAAATTGAGAATAAAGGAAAATGCATTCAAATGATCTTTTATAATTATTTTTTCTGTTACTTTTTATATGGAGAGTTAATGTCTCCAGTCACTTCCTTTCAACCAAAAATGTTCCTTTTTTTTCCTATGAGGTGGGCTAGCAATAGTATTTTTTATTGCAAGGGAATGTTTTACATTATCTTCATTTTTGCAAGAAGAGTTTTATTGTAGATTGATAAATGATAGTTATTATTCTCTAAGCATTTTGAATGTTATCTTAGTAGTGCAACTATAGTTTGTTTCTAAGATCACATTTACAATCACTTTATTTACTTTTTGTTTTTGTTTTTTTTTTTTTGAGATAGGGTCTCACTGTGATGCACAGGTTGGTCTCAAACTCCGGGCCTCAAGAAACCTTGTTATAGCCAGGTGCTGATGGCTCATGCCTATAATCCTAGCTACTGAGGAAGCTGAGATCTGAGGATCCCAGTTCAAAGCCAGCCCAGGCATGTAAGTCCGTAACTCTTATCTCAAAAAAAAATCATTCAGAAAACTGGAAGTGGTGCTGTGGCTCAAGTGGTAGAGCTCTAGCTTTGAGCTGAAGAGCTGAGGGACAGCTCCCAAGCCCAGAGTTCAAGCCCCACAACCAGCCAAAAAAAAAAAAAAGAAAGAAAAGAAACCTTATTATCTCAGTCTCCTGAGCTAGGTGGACTACATCAGGCCTACTGCTACTGTTATGAATGGGAAGTCAGTTGTTAATCATACTGGGGCTTCCTCATGAGTAATAACTCACTTTTCTTGGGTTGCTGTCAAGATTTTCTCTGTCTTTGAATTTTAGTATTTTTATTATGGTGTGGCTGTCGGTGATTTTTTTTTTTGTTTATTCTACTTGGATTTCCTGAGCTCATTCAATGAGTGGATTTGTGTTTCTCATCAAATCAGAAATATTTATAGCTAGTATTTCTTGCAGTATTTTTCTATACCTTTGACTGTCATTCTCATAACATGTACATTAGAGTTCCTAATATGCATCAGGTATCCTACATTCTGTCAATTTTACTCATTTTATTTTCTTTCTGTTCCTCACCTTGGAAAGTATTATCTCATTTAACCCTCACAATTAGGTAGATGAGAAATTGAGTTTACATTAATCAAATCACCAAGTTTAGTGGCACATGTGGGCCATGAGGATCACAAGGAGGTCTGACTCCAGACTCCACCATTGGCACCAATTCTCATATACCATACTGTCTTTCTAGTTTTGAGCAATCATAAACAAACAAGTACAGGATTTTAGATAGGCTGTCTCTCTTTTAGAAAATTTTCTTTCCATGACCCTTTAGTATTCTTTGCAAGTATGGCCCCTTCTAAAATTCCCTTATTTAATATTTAACATGTATTAGACATTTGCCTAATGTTTATTGCTTTGAATCAAGGCTTGTTCAATGGTATCTAGCTTTAAATGGCCATGAAAACATCAATATTTTGATCTAAAAGATTTCATTAGAAAAATATACAGCTTTTTGAAGGCTCTGAGAACTTAAGTGGAGAAGTATTCATTAAACATGGCAACTCACCTATAAAATTACCTACTGCTTATAGTTTTGATATAACAGCACTTGTTAATATTTAGGTCTTTCATTAATTAGTTGGATAAAATTAGAGATTATTGTGTTTCAGTAAATGAATATTTTAACATTTAATTAGTTTTTAAGTTTTACAGGTAGAAAGCAGTTCTGGAAAGAATGTTATCTCTTGGGGAATGGTACGATTTTCTTTAAATCCTCAGAAATAATCCTATGTCTTGTGAAAATAATATTCTGTGTATTGCCCTTAATACTAAGGATATTGCATATCCTATATAATATTTGATTGTAGAAAACATTTCCTACCAATTCTCTTCAAAAGCTGAAATGCATTTTCTTTCTAGCTCTCCAATTTTTCCCTTTCAACTCTAAGGATATTTCTATCTATACATAAATTCCAGAATCAAGATTCTCATGCCAAAAAGATCATCCAGCTAGAATATGTGCATATGTATATATACATACACTGATTATACATAACTACTGACTTCTTTATTACTGCCTGTCCTCTCCGAAGAAGATGATATGAGAGAAGCAGCCTGGAGATCTAATTGTTGCTTTCTGTTCTTTCCAAATTCTATCACCAATACTTTCCCATGCAGGTTATATCCATTTACTTGATGCAATGCTTGACATGCTATTTCCTTATCTAAAAGAAAAAAGAAGAAGGCATCAGTTTACATAGAGATTAATCATTCTAGTTCTGGTTGTTTTGCCTGAGCATTTAGGCAAGAGGGTAATAATGCCATTTGATTTTATCATCTTTTCTATAATCTCCAATTTATATAACTCAGCAGATTTAAAGCACTGGCAAACAACAATTACAATAAAAACTCAAAATGGATATTAGAAGGTGCTTTTTAAACTCAAAGACATAGGCTAAACAAACAAGGATATAGGCAATGTGCTAAAGAAATCTAAGCGGTACCTAGTTATACGTAAGTCTCTACTGCAATACAGATCTATAAAAACCAAGTATTTTCAACATGGTAACTGAAATGGAAGAAGCTGTCATGTGACTGAGTATAACTTGCTTCTTTTTCTTTCAGCGACTGTGGGAATCTTTACTGGGACAAGTAACCTAAGAGGTATATAGAAGCTTTGGATATGAGAATATATAGTGCACAAGAGGAGTATTCAAACTATGGGTTTCAGAGCCTGCATGTAAAAAATAAGGAGGGATGGATTATGACCAGTAGTTGTAGAAACTAAAGTTAACAAGGTGATTAGTTCGAACCTGTTTTGTCTGAGATAAACTAAAAAGTTTCAAATGTACACTGTACCTACTGTTATGATTAGTAAAGCAGCTACACATTTAAATGTACCTAGGTTATAAAACCTTTTAGTATGCATTTTAAATTAGTATATCAAATTCTGTGAGGGTATGTTAAGTATTTTTTTTATTGTGAAAATACCATACAGAGGGGTTACAATTACAAGGGCAAGATAATGAGTACATTTCTTATCAAGCATTGTTGCCTCCTCCTTTGTTTCCCCTTCCCATCCCTTCCCATCTCCTACCCACCTTCCCCCCACCCCTACCCCATCCCAACCCCTTCCCAAAGTTGTAGAGTTCGCCTTTTGACATAACAATTTGTACATCTCATTGTTGCAATGGGTCCACCTGATCCCTATTTAAACAATTTGTTTTTTCCCTTCTCCTCCACAAAGTATACCAACATCAGATACAGTGAAAACAGGGGTTATACCGTGGTGGAGGGACATACAAAGCAACAAAGAAATAATCTTATAAATGTGTTAGAAACAATCGCAAGAAAGAAAAAACACATTTGAATCCTTATCTTGGGGTTCATTGCACCTAACATCAACTTATCTGACCTTTTCTGCTTGACTCAGACATATACTAGTTAATTGCAAATAAGGGAAACCATGGGACCTATGTTTCTTTTGGCCTGGCTTACTTCACTTAATATAATTTTTTCCAAGCCTTTCCATTTTGTAACAAATGGAGCAATGTCATTCTTTCTGATGGAGGCATAGAATTCCATTGTGTATATATACCACATTTTTTTGATCCATTCATCTACTGAGGGGCATCTGGGTTGGTTCCAAATCCTAGCTATGATAAATAATGCTGCAATAAACATAGTTGTACTGGGAGCTTTAGTATGGTCTTGTTTGTGATCATTTGGGTAAATGCCCAAAAGTGGGATTGCTGGGTCATAGGGGAGCTCTATGTGGAGTATTTTGAGGAACCTCCATACTACTTTCCAAAGTGGTTGGACAAGTTTACACTTTTACCAACAATGCAGTAGGGTTCCGTTTGGGCCACATCCCCTCCAGCATCTGTTGTTATTAGAGTTCTTGATTATAGCCATTCTACTTGGGGTGAGGTGGTATCTCAATGTTGTTTTGATTTGCATTTCTTTTATGGCTAGGGAGGTTGAGCATTTCTTCATGTGTCTATTGGCCATCCTTCTTTCCTCTTTAGAGAGGTTTCTCTTTAAGTCTTAGCCCACTTATTTATTGGGCAGTTGTTTCTTTGAGGATTTGTTGTTGGGGGATTTAATTTTTTGAGTTCCAGGTATATTTTAGATATGAGACCATTGTCTGTTGTATGGCTAGTGAAGATCTTCTCCCAATCTGTGGGCTTTCCATTGATCTTGCTAGCTATGTCCTTTGCCATGCAGAAGCTCTGCAATTTCATGCAATCCCATTTGTCCAACCTTTCTTTGATTTGTTGTGTTTCTGGATCTCTATTAAAGAGGTCCTATACTTTGAAAGACTGAACACAAAACCACTGGTAAAGAGGATCTATATGTTTTCAATGGGATATAAAAGATGATATATGAGTGTACAACAAACACGAAGGGAGACTAGCAGTACTCAGGTATAAAATCACTTGTCTACATATAGGCTATAAAAGCAATGACAGTTTAGGGATAATGAAGCATACAGATCTTATCTAGATTCCTCCCTAAAAGACATAAACTGGCTAGTTTATCACAGAAATAAAAATTTCTGTATTATTCTGGCATTTTGATTAGAACACTAAATCCATGTAGTAAGATACAAGTGAGATTTACAATAATGGACCATTACCCACTAATTAAGGATTAGTGGTGGGGTGCTGGTGGCTCATGCCTGTAATCCTAGCTACTCAGGTGGCTGAGATCTGAAGATCATACTTTGAAGCCAGGGAAGGCAGGAAAGTCCCTGAGACACTTATCTCCAATAAACCACTCAGAAAAAGCTGGAAGTGACACTGTGGCTCAAATAGTAGAACATTAGCCTTGGGCAAAAGAAGCTCAGGGACAGTGCCCAGGCCCTATGTTCAAGTTCCAGAACCAAAAAGAAAAAAAAAAAGTAAAAACTTAGTATATTAGCCTGCAGTCATTTAGTCCTAAATAGAGCATAAGACAAGTACACATGTTCTGATCACAATGCCAACATATATTAATTACTGAATAATCTAACTATAACTTGGATGAGAAATACTAATGTCATAAAAGGGAATAAAATTTGAAGTATGAAGGAAATGCCAAGATTGGGGACATGAGGGCACCTGGATTATGCACTCTCAACAAAGGAGAAGGAGAGACAGAGAGGAGGACAGAGGAACACTGAAAATATATCTTCCTTACTTCTCTTGTCTTCTTATATGCTGTGAAGAATCAAGGCTACAATTAAATAGAGAGGTTATAGGTAGTCTCTAGGAAACAGACTTTGTAACTGAGCAACTATGTAGATGGAGCTACTTACTGGGAAAGGTGATGAAAGCTTGTCCCTTCATTCGTCCAGTCATTATTTGAAATTCAATTGGAGGTCCTTTCTTCTCCTGGAAGCGGGCGAATAATGATATAAGATCTCTATCTGTCACCCGAGAGCTAAGGTTCTTCAGGTATAACACCTAATGTAAATTGAAGATCAAGAAAAATGCCATATAAGAAAGGTAAAGCAACTCTTTCATTATTGCCAGAAATAGTTTCAGAGAGATAGTGGATTAAATACATTAATCAAAGTTTCCTCTCTCCAGAAAACTCTTTAGAACTACAAGAACTTAACAAACACAAATCAAACAAGGTCAGAAAGAACAAAGAAAGACGGCAATAGCAACACTATTTTGGTAGCTGGAAAATAAATGGATAAGCAAGAATAACTTAGCACACTCAAGAAAGCCGAATAATAAATCAGCAATGGGGAAGCCAAGAACTCACCTAATCTTTACCTAAGAATCTTCAAAAGCCAGATGTGGTGGTGTGCACCTACAGTCCCAGCTACTAGGGAACCTGAGGTAGGAAGACAGAGTGTAGCATGGACAACATAGTGACACTTTGTCTCAAAAAAGAGGAGGGAAGTAGGGAGGAAGGAAAGAACTAGATCACTCAAAAAAAGTTTGGGAATTGATAGCTTCATATTTCTCTGGAAATGGATGTGAAGGGTTGGGATTAAAATAAGAATGATAGGTTGAAGAACGTTTAAAAGCTAATTAGATCTTTAAATGTCTTCCACAATGTGCTACTGGGTGAGGGTAGCCAATAATCTTGGTACAATACTAGAGGCTTACTGTCAGAGGGTAGAGAATGCCTTATATAGCTGAGGTTCTAAATGTTATTTCTGAAAGCAAGATTAAGAGAGAGAGTATGCACATTAAAGGCTAGGAACTTTTGGGCCTTGACAATAATTGGTCCTAGAATGCTTGAACCATCTCTTCAACACATCCAGAGCAGTTTCCTCTGGAGAAACTCAAAATCCCGCAAAGGAAAGATAAAAACACTGACTTGGGATGGTGAATTTCTCCAACAAATGGTCTAGTCAATGTCTTGAGACAAGAGTCTTCCTATGTAGCCAAGATCCTCTTGCCTCAGCCTCCCAAGTGCTGGGACTTCAGTAGACCACTTTAAGTGCAGCTCAAAGTCCTCAAGGGCCAATCATGTTCAGCATGGATTATCAAATATCTGAGGAAAGCCTCTAATATGAGAGAGAATAGAACAAACAGAAAAGAAAGCAAATAGGAGGAAACAGAAATCATCAAAGGAGAAAAAACACTTTCAAGAACTTTACTAATATCTTCAGAAAAGTAAAAAAAAAAATTCCATCAATTGGAAATGGGATGCTGTCTAAAAATATAAGAGAAAAGGGCTCTTACATGTAATTCAACTTAAGGCACTATCAGGTTTAAGCAGATTTTAATATGTATAGTAACCTCAAGGAAAATATAGGCAAAAGATAGAGAAGCACGGAATCACAGCATGTCACTACAGAACTAATGAGAAATCAAAAAAAAAAAATCAATGAAACTCAAAGGCAGACAGCTAAGAGAGAAATAGACAAAAGAGTTACAAGACAGACCAAAAACAATGAACAATAGCCACACTAAGTCATATCTATTCACAATTACCTTAAATGTAACTGGATTAAACTCATGAAAAGATAAAGTGGCTGAATGGATAAAATAAACAAGATTTAACTGTGTGCTGAATAACAGATTCACTTTCAACTTACGGATATATGCAGGCTCAAAGTAAAAAGACAAAACATTCCATGCAATGGTAACAAAAAAGTAGCATGGGTGGCATATACTTACATTAGACAAAACAGGCCTCAAGTTAAAACTGTCATGAAGACAAAGGATATTGTATTGATAAAAGGGTCAATTCACTAGGGAAGTGAATTTTTAATATTACTGAATAGCTTTCAATCAAAAGTACCAGAGCACTTAAATATATGAAGCAAACAATGACTGAACTGAAGGAAGAAACAGTAAGAATCACAATAATAGATTTCAATACTCCACTTTCAATCATGAATAGGACATTCAAACATATAAGATCAACAAAGAAACAGAGGGATAGGAGTGTAGCTCAGTGGTAGAGCACTTGCCTAGCATATGCGAGGCCCTGGGTTCAATCCCCAGCACTGCAAAACAAAACCAAAAAAGTCAATAAAGAAACAGAAGACTTTAACAACACTGTAGATCAAATGATCTTAACAGATATATACAGATCATTCCACACAACAGTAACAGAATATATATTCTTCAGTACACATAAAACATTATTTGGGGCAGGTTGCAGACTAGGTCTCAAAAGTCTTTACAAAATTTAAAAGGCCTAAAGAAAAGTAAAATATCTTTTTTTTTTTACTATAATGGAATGAAACTAGAAATCAATCGCAGAAAAAAATTAGAAAATTAAAAGTATGTACAAATTAGAAAACAGTCTTGAACAAGAGGTAGCCAATAAAAAAAGGATATTAGAAAATATCTTGAGACAAATTAAAATGAAAACTATCTAAACTTAAAGGATGCTACAAAAGCAGAATTAAGTAGGAGAGTGTGTGTGTGTGTGTGTGTGTGTGTGTGTGTGTGTGTGCGTGCGTGCATGTGTGTGTGTGTGTGTCCCCTAAGCTTAAACTAGGTGCTAGCCTTGAGATTTTTTTGCAAGGCTAGTGCTCTCCCACGTAAGCTCCATGTCTGCTTTTTGGTAGTTTATTGGAGATAAGAATCTCATGGCCTTTTCTGCCTCAGCTGGCTTCAAACCCTGAACCTCAGATCTGAGCCTTCTCATTAGCTACAATTACAGGAATGGGCCACTGCCAGCCAGTTTACACAGAAATTTCATAGAAACAACTACATTTAAAAGAAAATCAGAGAGGCTATGAGAGAGGGTGAATGAGGATAAATATGGTTGAAATAGTTTATTTTGCACATATGGAAACAGAACAATGAAACCTATTGATATTGTTTTAGAAGAGGGTAAGGGAGAATGACAGAGGGGGTGAGTTTGCTCAGGGATACATTGTATACATGTATGGAAATGTCACAATGAAACCTGCCTTTTGTAAGTAATATATGCTAATAAAAATGGATAGTAAAGAAAAGATCTTTAACTGGGTGCAATGGCTCATACCTGTAATCCTAATTTGGGGACAGAGATAGGGAGATCTTAGTTCAAGGACAACCAGGGCAAAAAGTTCTTGAGATCTTACTTCAACCAATTAAAACATGTTCATAGTAGTATGTACCCATTGTCTCAGTTACGCAAAAAAGCCTATGTAGGAAGACTGGTTCAGGCTTGCATGGGCATCAGTGAGAGACCCTTTCTGAAAAATAAAGTAAAAATGGCTGGAGGTGTGGCTCAGGTGACAAAGAACCTGCCTAGCAAACACAATGGCATGAGTTCAAACCCCAGAACTGCCATAAATAAAGATCTCAAATACACAACCTAATTCTATACTTCAAGCAAGCAGAATAAAGAACTAAGACCAAAGTTAGCAGAAGGATAAAATTTTTCAAAAAACGAATAAAGCCAAGGTTTGTTTTTTGAAAAGACCAGCATACTTTTAGCCCAACAAAATTTTTGCTAGGCTAACAAAAAAGACAATTCAAATAAATAAAAATTAGAAATGGAAGAGGTATATAACCAGTATCACAGAAATAATGCTTTTAAGGAACTAAAAACAATTACATACCAACAAATTAGATAATGTAGAAGACAATGATAAATTCCTAGAAACATAAAACTTTCTGCATTGAACTATTAAGAAACAGAAAGTTGGAACAGATCAGTAATAAGGAAAATAAATCAGTAATAAAAAAAGTTCCTAACAAAAGCCTGTGACCAGATGGCTTCACTAATGAATCACACTAAATATTTAAAGAGTTGATGCAAATCCTGCTTAAACTCTTCCAAAAGAAAATGAAGAGAATACTTCCAGAGTCACTGTGTAAGGCCAGACCAATGTCCTGCTGAATGCAGGGGTGAAAATCCTCAAAGAAATACTACCACAATGAGCTCAATAGAATATTAAAAGGGTCATATACTATGACCATGTGGGATGCATCCTTGAGATCTGAAGATGGTTTAACATGCAAAATCAATATCAAACAACATATAACAGAATGAAAGTCACATGATCATCTCAGTAGATGCACACATAGTATTTGACTAAATTCAACACCATTTTATGATAAGTGTACTAAATAAACCAGTGAAAGAAGGAAATTACCTCAAAAAATTCAAAACTATAAATGAGACGCCTATAGTTAACATCAGATTCAAGAGTAAAAAAAGCAAAGTCTTTCTTCTAAGATCAAGGATATGCATCCTTGCCTCTTCTATCAATACTCTGATGAAAGTCCTAGCAGAGCAATTAGGCAAGGCAAATAAATAAAACACATCCAAATCAGACAGAAAGAAGCAAAGCATTTATTTTTGTTCACATATGAAATGACCATAAACACTGAACAAAAAATGTAGAACTGAGCAAAACTGCAGAATATCTAACACAAGGTACTCAGTTGTTTGTCTATACATTAACAGTTAACAATTTTAAAAGGAAATCCATTTGCAATGCCATCAAAAAGAATAAAATACAGAAGAATGAGTGTAATAAAGAGTTGAATAATAAAAATTAAATGTAGAAAGAAATTAAAGAAGACATAAATGGAAAGATGTTCTGTTTTCATGAATGGGAAAACTGCTAAAGTATTTACACTAACCAAAGTGTATTCTCTGTCAAAGTCCTAATGGCACTTAATAGAAAAAAATACTAAAATCATATAGAACCATAATGATACCAAATAGCCAAAATGATCTGGAGACATAAGAAAGCTAGAGCCTTCACAAAGATTATTTCAAGACGTTTTACTAAGAAATCAAAACAATATGATACTGCCATAAACGGATACATAGTTCTATGAGCAGGACAGACTAGAAATGCATCATGAATTTATAGTTCAGTAAACTGATCTACAAGTGTACTAGGAACACAAAATTGAGGGACATATTCTGTTCAACAAAATGTTAAGACTTATAACAAATCACACACTATAAAATTGTACCCTTATATCATGTACAAATGCACTAAAGACTTACTTAAATTAAGACCTAAAACTGGAAAGTTCCTAGAGAAAATAGGATATTTCTTAGCATTGGTTTTGACAATGATTTTGATATAACATCAGAAGCATATGCAGCAAAAACAAAAATAGAAAAGAGGTATTACCTCAAACTAAAAAGATCTGCACAGTAAAACTATCACTAGTGAAAAGGCAACCTATAAAATAGGAAAAGTGTGTGCAAGCCATATTTAATAAACAATTCATAGCTAATAAAAATCTCAATAGTCAAAAACAAATATAATGTGATTAAAATATGGTCAAAAGACTCAAATAGACATTGCATCAAGAAGACATACAAATGGTCAATGCATATATAAAAAGATGTTCAATATTATTAGTCACTATAGAAATGCAAATCAAAGCCAGAATGATGTATGTCTATTGGGATACACATTATCTAAATTTAAAAAGAAATAGCAGGTGCTGGCAAGGATATGGAGAAACTAGAATCCTTGTACATTATTGGTGGGAATGTAAATTGATAAAGTTGCTGTGCAGAACAGTATGAAAGTTCCCACAAAAAATAAAAATGAAAACTAAAGTTTAATCAATTAATCCCACTTTTAGGTATTTATCCAAGAGTTTAACATGGTCTTAAATTCCCATGTTCATTGTTGCATTATTCAAATGGCTGAAAGGTAGGAGCAATCTGTCCATTTATGAATGCATAAAAGGTGAAATAGACAATGGCATATAATTCAATGTTACAAAGACAATTCTGTCACATGGACGAAAGCTAAGTGAAATAAGCCACAAAAGGATAAATTTCATGCTTCTGCTCATATAAAGTAACCATGAAAGCATGGTTACCAGGGGCTAGAAGGGGGATATGGGGAGTTGTTATTCAATGGGTAAAACATTTCAATTATGGAAGATGAAAACTTTCCATAGATATGCTGTATGATATTATGCTTATAGTTATCAATATTGTAGTAGACACTTAAAATTTGTTAAGAGAATACATTCAATGGAAGAGAAACAAAGATCACAATACAAAAAAGAAGAGTAAAAAACAGCATTAGTTACCTCCTTTTTAGCTAGAAACTAATACTGTTTTTAAAGGAACTAAGAAAAAATTCAAGCAGGAACAGTAAATAATAGCTAGAAAATAGACCCCACTTAAATGACTTATCCACTGAAATAAATAAAAACATTAAGCATTGTTAACTAGTAGTAGAAACTTTGTCTCAAAAAATTTAAAACCTGGACATTCAAACATTTAGCATTTATAGATGCTTTTATCTTAAAAGCATGCTTGTGATTCATTTCAGTAATTTTAGGTGATCTTGAATTTTGACTTTCAAATACTTAGATTTTTCACCAATTAAGAAAGTCAATTTCTCAGGATTACAGGCGTGAGCCATTGGCATCCAGCTGCTAGAGTTTTTAATCATGAATAGATGTGAAAAGTTTTTTCAATGCTTTTCTACAATGATCACATGGACATCCATGTTTCTAACCTCTGTGAAATGGCCATTTAAATCTTCAGCCTATTTCTGTTAGGTTGTTTGCAATTTGCTTATTGATTTATGATGAAGGATTTCCTTAAAATGACTCAGAAAAGCACACACCATAAAAATGGGTAATTTGATACTATTAAAAGATTTCTTCTAGGGCTGGGAAGGTGGCTCAGTGGTAGAGCGCTTGCCTTGCATGCATGAGGCCCTGGGTTTGATTCCTCAGCACCACATAAGCAAAGAAGAAAAAAAAACCGGAAGTGGCGCTGTGGCTCAAGTGGTAGAGTGCTAGCCTTGAGCTGAAGAGCTGAGGGACAGCGCCCAGGCCCAGAGTTCAGGCC